ATTTCTTCTTGGATATGTGGTGGCTGTTCCCCTTAACCATTGTGCTGAAATTCTGGCACAATTTTTTCTCATTCTTTTCTATTTTCCTATGCCCCCCAAAAAGCTGTGCAATAATGGTTGTTGGGGTAGGAAAGTCTAGAAAAGATGAAAATGCCAGATCATTAATTTAAAAGGATCTGTATTTTCTTTTTCTTTTAAGGGAACAATAAGGATTTTCCCCTTGTCTTCATGGTTATAAAGCATAAACCCTGACACTGTCCTTGAGCTGGCTGTCATAACACACAGATACAGTAACCCCTTTCATTCAACCAACAGATGAACACCTACTAAGTGCCAGGTAGTTCAAGATCGAAAAGTAAGCAAGACAGATGGAGCCCCAATGTAACTTTCATGCTTGAGTGTAGCAATAATTAACCAAATATTTCCATAATATACTTTTTGAGAACATTTTACTTTTTTACCTCCTGTTGGGTTTCTTATTATTTGTATGAATACATGTGTTTCCAAAAATGTAATGAAGAATAAAATGATGACAAAATGGCAGTTAAATCCAGATATACACTTGCAGTTTAAATACTTTCATTTAAAAAAAAAAGTAATCCAAATTATGGGCTGCTGCCAAAGACTCTTGATTTAGTGTTCATGAAAAGACAATTTTTTTTGTAATAAGCAACACTTTCAGTATATTTACTAATTTATATTCCAGGATTACTTCTCCTTTTCATATTTTAATAGTGAATAACAATCACACTTAGCAATTTAAATATATGGACTGATAACCAAGGTAATACTTTAACTTGGTCATTTTGTTTGAAAAATACAATAAATTTAAGATAATCCTTTTGCCTTACACATTTGTGGGTCTGGTGATTTTATTTTACTTTTTTAAGCAAGCAATCAAGTATATTTTGGTGTCACATTGAAACATAAGTTCTCTAAATTCTTACAAAAGTGAAACTGTATTGGTGAGAAGATCTTGCTGTTGTCAGCAGAATCAAAACTACTTGTTCTTGCCAAAATGTTTTGTCTTATAGCTGGGGGGATAAGTAGGTAGGTGGGTCTGAAAGAAAGAAAAGAAAGAAACTTGAACAACCTTACTATGATGAAAGTCCCTTCCCCTTTTGGAAAGCAAAACAGAGGTGGCAGATCTGGCCATCAGAGAACAAAGGGCCAAAGAGTGAACCTGAGACGTTGAAATAAAATGTAACATCAACAAAGAAAGGGCCATAGATAAATAGTAAAAGGACCAAGTTGCCACAAAAAACCCATTGACGTTTTCCCAGAGTCCAGGCGAAACACTGGTGACCGGTTAATGTTGGAATGTTTTCCTAGGGTTAAAAGGAGAACCGGCAGCAAGTCTGTTCGGAGTTTACAAAGTGTTTGAATAACACGGACAGTGTTTTGATAACACTTTTTTAGTGGGGTTGAAAATAATAGAATTTATTGGGACTTTATATGGGCCCCCTTGGTTGTGTGGGAGTGGGGCAGGGGTGGATGGGAGGCAAACCTCATATCATTACCCTCATCTGTTAACCCACCTATGTAATTTATTCATACATGGGTGTATGTATTTGATGCATAATGGTCTTCCTTCAACCAAATGCTTCTCAGTTCTGCTTTTAAAAGACACATGCTTTTATAGTGGTTACCTTTCAAGAGGAGAAAGGTAGAAAGAGGTCAGCTGGTCAAGTCGGCAAAAACTTCGTGTGTTATTAGAATAAGTTGGTGGCCATGGAGTTGATGTTATTGCTTGGAACAATAGAGAATGAGATCCTGGCCCTGGCTTCCTTGTAGCCCTCAAAGTTTCCTGCTTGCTCCTTCTCAGGCTGGAAGGTGAAAGATTTGAGTTAATCCAGCCAGCATTTGGATCTGGGGTTCCAAGGGGTCTCCATGTTTCCTCCCCAGTGTTGATGTTTTTCTTCCACGTATTCCAATACACTGTCAGTTGAGCCACATAAAACCAGGCACCTTTCAATAAATGTCTCATTTGGATTTCATGAAGCTTGGGGTGTAATTGAAATCAAACAGCAAACAGGCTGGAAGGCTCCTGTTATTTGCCCACCCAATCTAAGCAGGGTGCTGTTTGACATGTTTGCTGAGGCCATATCTTTGGTTTTCTTTTCTGGTCCTATTTTCTAGAAAAGAGTGCTTGGATTTTTAAAGTGTGGCTGAGACTCAGGAAAACATTTTTTTTTTTAATGTTTCTTTCCCCAGTTATAAGTATTATTGAACCAGCAAAAGGAAAGTTCATTCCAAGTAGGAAATCACAGATTTGTTAATCTATAACTCTCCAAGAATATTGGGCTAGTATATTCCATATGTTAAAAAAAAGTAATTAGTTAATTAACAGAACCATTAAATGAGATTTGTCTCTATGCAACCAGAAACTGTTATCTGTAGTTGTAATCGCTTTTTTATTATTTTAAAGAGGAATTTGTAAATATATGTGCTTATAAATGTAACATAATACTATTGCATATCTTTCATGCAACCAGAAAATATTATGTGTAGTTGTAATCACTTTTTTATTATCTTAAAGAGGAATTTGTAAATATATGTGCTTATAAATGTAATGTAATATAATAATATTATTGCATATTTCTCATGTTCCAAAAACTTAGGTCCCAGGATAGTTTTGCAAAACTCCTATTTTGATTCTCTGAATTTGTCTTTGTTTCTCTATTTGTAAAATGCCTTAGATTGTGGGTAAAATAATAGATTAACTGGGGAGGTGGGGGAAATATAAACTATAACTCTCCGTCCAAGAAGTAATACAAATACTAATTACATATTCCATACATATATTCAATAATTTGGTGGCACTCGAAATGAACCCACGCGCTTCCATGAGCTCGCTTGGGAATGGAAGAGAATCAGCTCTTTCTGATGTGGCGCGGGGGACAGCTGGCCCGTGTTATTTGCGCCAGAGTGGGTCGGAACGATGCCTGTTGCCTGCTATGGCACTTTGCCATGCGCAGCGTTTCCCTGGTCGCTTCGAAAGCATTTTGAAGGAACACCAAGGCCCGCTTCTCGCTGTGTTAAATTGCAAAACTGCCGGATGCTCTCGACCAACCTATCCCCAAATGATGTTAGGATTCGATCTCACACCTACTTTTCCCTTAAACATCCTGAAGCTCTTATCAAGACTAATGTGAAGAAGAACGCGACCTATAACCGGCACCGGTTAGCCCAGGGCTATGTCTCCAACTCCGCAAAGCTCCTCAGTCCCTGCGCTCACGTCGCTCACGAAATCTCCAGGTTGAAAATCATTACGTCGACAAAAGCACTGTACTATTTGAAAAATCAATCTTCAAGAATTCCCTGGGTCAAAATAAAATTAAAACGAGGAAGATAGAAGTGAACAGCAAAGTGTTCGGAGCAGACAGCCATGCCATAAGCGAACTGAACTGACGGGACGAAATGCAGGGGAGCTCAGGGATGAGCAAGCACGATGTCAGCTTTCCAGGGATTTGCTCCCGGGTAGCTCTGGCCAAAACTTACAAGACCATCGCCCCAGCCCACTCGTCCTAAGCTGCCCCCTTGCTCCTTTGCCCCTAGGCTGTGCCTTGACCCTGAAAATCTTTGCGCGCTCAAGGCTTTTACCACCACACAATAATACTGTGATAAACGCCCTAGAGTGTCCGAATGCATTAAGGACCGGTTCGCTTTCTAACCCACATGTGCGGATGTTGATGCTGCTGTGGTTTGAACCCTGATTTGAAAGCTTCGCACTGTTCTACAACTGGCGTGTGCGCGCTCAACAAATCCTGCGGCCACCTCATCTGTTGTAGGCGAAAAGTTTCCCGTGTGATCTCATTCGGTTGGGAAAGCAGAGTCCGGACATCTCAGCCGGAAAATGCGCTCCCGGAGCGATTACTGGCCACATCCGTAATTGCTTATTAACAGCGAATATCCAGTCTTCTTATCCGCAGCGAAACGTGCACCCCTACTGTAATACTGAAACAATAAAATATGACAGCACCATTCTTGACTGTTTGCGGAAATGCAGGGAAGAAACAGGCAGCTGGGGCAAAGGAGCTTAATTCAATATCTAACTGATTATTTCACTAATTATTCTACCTTCTGTCTTGTGCCGCAGAGGAGAGGCGCAGGGAATCTTAACCTCGCGGCTGATAGGAAAACCTTTGTTTCTTGGTGACAGGCCCCACGGAAGATGACGTTGGGGGCGTAGGAAGCATCCGGGAGCCAGCAAAACTGAGCAGCGTGGATTTCAAATTGTGGACAGTAAAAGTGATTGCCTCCCCAAAAGCAGGTTTGTTGGCGTGGGTATGAAGGTAAATGGTTGGCTCGTTTAGTTTCCACTTTGGTTTCGGTCCTTAGTACCCCACTTCATTCAGGCTTCTGATTTAGAAGCTGAGAGCTTAGATCCTTGAGGATGGCTCTGAGCTCTCGCCGTCCCCGGAATCTCAAAAGCTGAGCCAGAGGTCTCTCCCTTCCTTCCCACTGGCTAAAAAGATGGGACTGCACAAAATGTGTGGAAGGCCAGGGAGTCCTCCATCAGAAGAAGAAACTTGAAGTTACAGTTTCTGACGATGAGAGACTTCGCGTGAGTCTCTCTCTCCAACGCGTCCCAGGTCTGCACCTTTGGGGACCGGCGCATTCCTGCAGTCAGCTTGCAGAAACTTTCTCCCTCTGGCCTCTAGTACCTGCTCCGCATTACCATCCAAGAGCACGAGGATGAGACTCTGTGCCATGGATGGCCTCCCATTACGGAGACCTCAAACCCGGTTCCCCTAAACTTTGGGGAAATGTGGACACTCCGATAGATTCTCACAGCGGGACAGTCTTAAAAAGAAATTAAAAAAAAAAAAAAAACAGGCTAAAGGAAAAGCAAGGCTTGGGCGACTTGATCCAATTAGTAAATGCCTAATTGAATTAGTGTCACCTCTATCAGCCAATAGGAGGGACCCCGGGCTGTGGGGCTGCGAAGCCCCTCCCTGGCCGCACATATATAAAGCAGCCAGTGACCGTCTGCAAGTTTCTAAGTGGTCAACTAGACCCACGATTTGGCAATAGGCAGAGCGCAGAAAGGCGCTGGCTGGTGGGTGGATGGGAACAAAGATCTAAGTCCTCTTCTTCCCGGGATTTAGTGAGGGTCCTGAGAGGCAAGAGGGACAGGGAAGGAAAAGGAGGGTGCTTGTCGGTCATTTTCCACCATCTGCCTACAAATTCAGTGAGCTTTCCTTGCGGAAAGGACGCTGGATTCAGGGTGCATCGGTGCGCTTTGTAGCGGGCTGGGAGTCCGCAGGTGGGTAGCCCGGGCGCGGGAGGAAGGGGAAGTTACCTTCCCTTCGGAAGAGGGCGCTGGCTCCCCCATCCTGCCTTTATAATAAGGCCACAGGAGGAGAGGAAGCAGCCAGCTGCCGTCTGCGCTTTGCAAAGCATGCAGTTAGGCGAGCAGCTCTTGGTGAGCTCTGTGAACCTACCCAGTGCGCACTTCTACCCGTTGGAGAGTGCGCGAGGCGGCGGCGGCGGAGGGAGCACCAGCCACCTTCCTGGGGCTGCCCCCTCGCCCCAGAGGCTGGACTTAGACAAAGCACCCAAGAAGTTCTCCAGCAGCCTCTCGTGCGAGGCGGGGAACGGGGAAACTGACGCCAGCGCGGGGGCCCCCGTGGCCATGCTCAGTGACGCCGACGCCGGGGACACCTTTGCCAGCGCCTCTACAGTGACCAAGCCAGGACCCCCGGACGGCCGCAAGGGCTCCCCCTGCGGAGAGGAGGAGCTGCCTTCTGCCGCTGCCGCCGCCGCCGCCGCTGCTGCCGCAGCCACCGCGCGCTACTCCATGGACAGCCTGAGCTCGGAGCGCTACTATCTTCAGTCTCCCGGGCCTCAAGGCTCTGAGCTGGCTGCGCCCTGCTCTCTCTTCCCGTACCAGGCAGCGGCCGGGGCGCCTCATGGATCTGTTTACCCGGCTCCCAACGGCGCGCGTTACCCCTATGGCTCCATGCTGCCCCCCGGTGGATTCCCCGCAGCTGTGTGCCCACCTGGGAGGGCACAATTCGGTCCTGGAGCCGGCGCGGGCAGTGGTGCAGGCAGCAGCGGCGGCGGGGGCGGCGGCCCCGGTGCCTATCAGTATAGCCAGGGGGCCCCGCTCTACGGGCCGTACCCTGGAGCAGCAGCGGCCGGCTCTTGCGGAGGATTGGGGGGCCTGGGGGTTCCCGGTTCCGGCTTCCGCGCCCACGTCTACCTGTGCAACCGGCCTCTGTGGCTTAAATTCCATCGTCACCAAACTGAGATGATCATTACGAAACAGGGCAGGTGAGCGCAGCGCGGAGGGGCCCTGGGTGCGGGGATAAAGTGAGAGTGTGTGGTCCTGGGGAAGGCGGGTGGGATGAGGGAGCTGTGCCCACTTGCCGTTCGCTGTTCTCGGATTGTTTTTCCGCTCGCGGTTTGGGAAACATCGCATCTACAATGCGGTGACCCTCTCCGCACACGGGCTGCTTGTGTAGAGTGCTAATGTGCTGCACTCTTCCCTCCCCTCGCTAGTCATCCTCACCTGAACTGACAAGGAGGAGGCGGAAATGGAAATTTAGGCTTGCCCACAGAGCTGGATTCACGGGATTCTCCGGCTTCAGTATGCAGGTTCTTGCCTAAGGGCAAGAAGCCGGGTGGTGGTGGTGCGTGGGTGGGGGGGGGGCGGGCGGGGGGAATGCAAAAGCCCGCTGCGGCCCCGGCGCAGTAGATGGGTTCCTGCAGTTTTAGGCGCCAGGGTCTCCACGGGGCGCCTCTGGGAGATCCGGGTGAGGGCTAGGGCGCAACCTGGGAAGGCCAGTTTGGGTGGGGTAAGTGGTTAACGGCAGGCCCTAGAACCAAATGTGGATCGGGTTCGGAATGCAAGAAGTTCTGACACACACCCAGCTGCTAACTGTGGTTACTTCTGGAGGAAATGAGGAGTGGGCGGAAGAGGGGCACTCAAAGGGGACTTGTAGCCTAAAAAGAGCACTCCTACGCGCGCGCTCTCTATCTTCTGGCACTTGCACATTGTAATGTAATGATTTTTAAAATTCTGCGAGGAAAATTAATAAGCATCTGAAAGAGTTGAGAGCTTGAATCAGAAGAGGTATCAAAAGCCCATGAATTAGGAAAATACTGATGTTAGGGCAATTTTATTTCGGAAGATAGATGTTTCGGGAGTTGTCAGTTCAAAAATATTTTCATAGTTTCAAGACACTTCACCAGTTTCCTGCTCATTGCAGACTTCTAAGTACCTCCCCTGACCCTATCCCAGGTGTCTGGGGAACCGGGGCCGTGTGGGGACTTCCGAATTAAATTGTTTATCCTCGTTCTGTTCCTTTGCACAGGCGCATGTTTCCTTTCTTGAGCTTCAACATAAACGGACTCAATCCCACTGCCCACTACAACGTGTTCGTAGAGGTGGTTCTGGCGGACCCTAACCACTGGCGCTTCCAGGGGGGCAAGTGGGTGACCTGCGGCAAAGCCGACAATAACATGCAGGGTGAGGAGAGAGGAAGCCTTTGCTGGGGAGAAATCGAAACCTTTGCCTCTGGACACCTCACATTTAAATCTAGCACTGTTCCCCTCCCCTCCACTCCTCCCCAGTCTGGGGCCTAGAGGTGTTAATTTGAGTTTCTTTCCTTGTGTTGGTTATTTTGAAAGAGTGGAGAACGGCTAAGTCATATTTCTTACCTTCCATTATATGGATACATAGTACCTTTAACTGTGGCCTCACCCCATCCCCAGTCCCTATGTGAGGGAAACTAATAGTCTGAGGCTTCTGGGAGGGAAGCACTCCTGGCATTCTAACCTTAACTGGAGAAAGCCAAGGTTAAGTTTAACCATAAAAGTCCAACCACCTGCCATTATATATTGCACTTCCAGCTTTAGAAGGCCCAAGATAACATTTAAGCTCATCCTCTGTTGCAAGTTTTTTAAGTTTTGAGATACCATTGAGTGCCTGGTCCAAGGGGTCCTGGGAGGGGTGTCAATGGAATTCTCCTACTGGTTTCCTAAGCTTCTGCCTCTGGGCGACTTGTGCTGCAAGTCCAGCTCTTATATTTTGCCCATAGCTAACAGACCTCTCTTCCCTAGTCCCATTTGCAAACATCCTTATATGCTTGGGTTTTGTGTTTTGTTTCATTTTCTCTTAGGAAACAAAATGTATGTTCACCCAGAGTCTCCTAATACTGGCTCCCACTGGATGAGACAGGAAATTTCCTTTGGGAAATTAAAACTCACCAATAACAAAGGAGCAAATAACAACAACACCCAGGTAGAGTGACAGAGGAGGAGGGGGTGTCTTCTGGCTATTGGTCTCTTTTCTAATAAGAGTCCATACTTTTCACTGTGTTTATAATATTTGCAGTTGTGAACTGTTTGCTCACATACTTCTGATTTTTTAAAAAAACTTTCTTATTTTCTTTTTCTTAATGGATTTAAATAACAGTGTATTGACTATTAGGAACAGAAATATTTAGGGGGATTTAGGAAACCAAGAGGAAAAGAGTGTTTATCAAACACATATTAGCTACATTATTTGTTTTTTGGGGGGTGGGGTGGGGTGGGTACTGGAGCTTGAACTCAGGGGCACTTGACCACTGAGCCAGGTCCCCTCCCTATATTGTATTTTATTTAGAGACAGGGTCTCACTGAGTTGCTTAGCGCCTTGCTTTTGCTGAGGTTGGCTTTGAACTTGCCATCCTCCTGCCTCAGCCTCCTGAGCCACTGAGATTACAGGTGTGCTATGTTTTAAGTTTTTCAAAAGTGGCAATGATAAGATCTTAAACATGTCAGTAAAATAAAGAAAGTTGTTGGGGAGCAAGTAGGAGTCCCATCTGAAGGTAAATAATTTGTTAAAATCTACTTTTGATGCTTTAAGAGACTTTTTAGATTCGGCAACTCTTTTTTTTTTTTTTTGTACCATTTCCAGATGATAGTCTTACAGTCTTTACACAAATACCAACCACGACTGCACATTGTGGAAGTGACAGAGGATGGTGTGGAGGACTTGAATGAGCCCTCGAAGACCCAAACCTTTACCTTCTCAGAAACACAGTTCATTGCAGTGACTGCATATCAAAACACTGATGTGAGTGCCCTAAACTTCCCAAGAATCTCTAATGCTTATCCAGTGTGATAAAGCACTCAGTGACTATTTTTCTCCCCTATCTAGATTACTCAACTAAAGATTGATCATAACCCCTTTGCAAAAGGCTTCAGGGACAACTATGATTCGTAAGTGCAGCTTCATTCATATTTTCCTGGCTTCCTTTGAACAGGACACACATCATGACATTGCTGGGGACATACTCTAGGGAGGGCTTTCTTTGGGGGGATTTTTATCTTTGTGTATTTTCAGCCTTAACTAATTTTGTTTTAGAATTTGCACAGAAGAGTTTTCATTTCTAAAGAAATATTAAGGTCTTAAACATGAAGCACCTTTTTGTTTTTTAACATCTAAACAGCTATTTTAAGAATTTGCATTACTTATGTAACTTCCCTTTTCATTTGTTTCAAGATTTTTATCCTCATAGAAGCAGGTATTATTACTCCCCCCCACCTTTTTTTTTTTTTTTTAAATGCTGGGGATTGAACTCAGAGGCACTCAACCACTGAGCCACATCCCCAGCCCTATTTTGTATTTTATTTAGAGACAGGGTCTCACCATTGCTAAGGCTGACTTTGAACTTGTGATCAGCCTCCTGAGCCACTCAGATTACAGGCATGCACCACCACACCTGGCTATCCTCTTTTTGACATAAGAAAAGCCTGGAACTAGGAAAATATATTTTTCACAACATCAAAAGCAAGTCCTGCCATTTAAAAGTCTCTGTCTTCTAATACCACCGGCAGCGTTCATTCCATCTCCTTGAAAAGGGAGGATTGCTCTGAGTTCTTCATGTTTGAGGCCTTGCAAAGGCATATTTTCTATAGTTCAAATATCCAATGCCTGGAAGGAAACTTTTTTTTTTTTTTAATGGTGGAAAATTTTCTCCATGAGCCAAGAATGCAACTAAAATTGGCCAGGGCATCTCCTGCCTCCTTCCTAAATTGTCTAAAACACCAGCATTCTCAGTAAAGAGGACTGACTGCCCCTAAGCCCCTTTCACTTCTGGGAGGTGGTTTGTTTGGGAACAATATTAGTTTTTTTTTTTTTTTAAGTGTTTCTCTTTATATTGTAGCATGTACACCGCTTCAGAAAATGACAGGTTAACTCCATCTCCCACGGATTCTCCTAGATCCCACCAGATTGTCCCTGGAGGTCGGTACGGCGTTCAGTCCTTCTTCCCGGAGCCCTTTGTCAACACTTTACCTCAAGCCCGATATTATAATGGCGAGAGAACCGTGCCACAGACCAACGGCCTCCTTTCACCCCAACAGAGCGAAGAGGTGGCCAACCCTCCCCAGCGATGGCTTGTCACGCCTGTCCAGCAACCTGGGACCAACAAACTAGACATCGGTTCCTATGAATCTGAATATACTTCCAGTACCTTGCTCCCATATGGTATTAAATCCTTGCCCCTCCAGACATCCCATGCCCTGGGGTATTACCCTGACCCAACCTTCCCTGCAATGGCAGGGTGGGGAGGTCGAGGCTCTTACCAGAGGAAGATGGCAGCTGGACTACCGTGGGCCTCCAGAACCAGCCCTCCTGTATTCTCTGAAGATCAGCTCTCCAAGGAGAAAGTCAAAGAAGAAATTGGCTCTTCTTGGATAGAAACACCTCCTTCCATCAAGTCTCTAGATTCCAATGATTCAGGGGTATACACCAGTGCTTGTAAGCGAAGGCGGCTGTCTCCTAGCACCTCCAGTAATGACAATTCCCCCTCCATAAAGTGTGAAGACATTAATACTGAAGAGTACAGTAAAGACACCTCAAAAGGCATGGGGGGGTATTACGCTTTTTATACAACTCCCTAAAAGTTATTTTCACTTCGTAAAAATTAGCTAATTTTTGGCAGATGGACTTGGTGTTTTTTGTTGTCTTCTTTGCCTAGGTTGCCAAAAAGACGTTTGCCTTCCACCTTGATGCATCCCGTTTTGTGCAATTCTCTATAAGAAGGTGCCAAAGCTTTTTGATTGCTGCAGGTAACTGAAACAAACCTAGCATTTTTTTTCCCCTTTGTAAAATACAGGTAATGGAGGACTTTAAAAGTGTTTTAAAAGTTGAAGGTAATTCAAGGTTCTGGATTTATTTATTGGAGACACTAAACATGCAGAGAAGCAGGCCGAGAAGAGTGAGTGCCCAGCACTATCAAATGGGTTAAAACCTTTCTTTCTTATTTCTATTTGTAAGTCTTTAAGCAAATAGAAGCCCAGAATGTTAAGGTGTTTAGCTTCTGGAAGAGAAGGACCGGGCCTTAAACTTCAATTGGGGACCTTTTGGTGTTAACCTTGTGCCAGGGGCAAAAGATGTTAGGCCTGGGAGTCAAGAAAAACTTTTGTGAAACTGCTGGTTTTATCTGACTCTGATTCCTCCCAGGCCTTTGGAATAAGCCATTTTTGCCCTTGTCCAGGATTGCCTCTCTTGAGACTTGCTAGGCCTGTATTGTGTGGTGGGGTAAGGGAGGGAGCCGCCAAAAAAGGGAAAAAAAAAAAAAAAAAGAATTTTAAAATGTACAGTTGTGTGTGTTTAGATACACTGTAGAATAATGTGGAATATATTGTACAAATAGGCTACATAGGTGTCTGAGATCATGTAAAATTGGTGCTTTGGCTTTGTAAAAGAATTCACAAGTTACCTAACGGCTTCAGGGGCAAGGGAAGAGTTTCATCATTCCCATGATCTTTGGGAATATTCTATTTACTTTTTAGATAGTTCAGAATGTACTCAGCTACTCTGTACTAACTTGAAACGTGTTTAAGGAAAAATCCTATTTCATCCTCTTCCTCCGCCATCCCCCACTCCCCACCTTGGTAATGTGAAGAAACTACAATCTAATGCCACAGCTCCTATAGGCTTTTTAGATATCTTGGATTTTTATGTACAGTCTTAGTCATTTTTAATAAATGTGGTTCAACTAGGGAACAGGCATAGCTGTTTCTTCTGTACTGTGGGTCTTATTCTTTGCTTTAAAAATCTCATTTTTCTCCTTCCTGCACTCTTTTTCTAGTGTGAGCCCTGCCTCACCAGTCCCCTTCACAAACGGGCTCTACAATATTTTAACTGGACACTGTAGTCATAAGGGGGTGGGGTGGGGATGCTTTTGTTTATCTTCTTTTCCCCTTTAAGATTAATGGATCTATTTCTTTGTCCCACTGGGAAGTCTGGACAATGGGTATTAGTTGAGGGTGGGAAGGGAATGTTTGCCACCGAGATGCAAGACTGCCCACTTCAGACTTAATCTAAACCTCGAAAAACCTCCTCCCCTGGCCCTTAGTCACTCAGTTCTGAGCCTCTTCGGAGGCTTATTTGAGGCCACCAATTCCTGGATCAGCGTAGGCTCTCTGGGAACCCCCCACCGCCCTTTTAGCGCCTACGAGTTCCGGGTCTCTGTGGCACAGTGGGGTGCTTGGGCCGCCTACCGCCTGGCTTTTGCTCCCACCTATTGCTCCCAATCAGGGCTTTTTCTGAACGGAGACTTGCTGGCTACACACCACTATAGCTGCTGGCCACCATCCTTTGCGTTCAGCCAAACTTGGTTAGGGACTCCGGAGCTGCGGCGAGGACTGGGGGCGGCTGCAGCACTTACAAACGAGCATTGCAGTTGTCCCCGATTACACCCGCTCTGCAAAATTGTGTGTGGGCCGCGGTTCACCTCCCACCTAGCTCCATTTGGTTGGCTCACAGTCCCTGGGAGAACTATGGACACCCCATCCCTTGGCTGAACGCAGGGCGCGGTTTAACCCTGAGTTAAACCAAGGAGTGGTACGAAGGGCCCTTTGTCCCTCCCGACAGACGTCCCGCCAGGCTTATCGGCAGACGGCTTCAAGCCCAGTTTGCAAATCTTTCCAGCCCCCTTCTCACCCCGGGGTAAAGGTCTGGCTGGGAGGGTCATTCTGCTAACTGCGCCGCGCGCGGAAATGCAGCTGCTAAGAGGATTAGCTTCTGGGAGGCGAGCAATCAGCAAGGACCTCCTATCCTTCAGCGCCCAATTAAGGCCGTCGGGAGCTTGTACCTGGACTGTCCGTGTGCTCCCATCCCCTTCATCCTTCCGGGGCTCGAGCTCTTCCACCGCCAATGACGTGAGGGGCTCAAACTCCAGCTCTGCGTCTCTTACGGTGTCCGCTCAAAACTCTTGCGCAAAGCCGCCCCGAATCTCACCGGGAAACAGAGGGAGAACGATTTGACCATATGCTTTTTAATATTTGTTTATTATGGATGCCAGATCTGGACTCAGGGAGTGGAGCATGCATAGCCCGCCTAACCTGGCCAGCAACCTCCCCCCCCCCAACCCCCCGCCTTACACCCGCGCGCAAGCCTAGAGTCTGCGGAGATGCGATGGAATTTCAAAACGGTGCTCTTCTGTTTCTGCCCTCTAGAAAGCCCGAAAACGCTAATCACATTCGAGATAAAGCCGACTCGAGCCCTAGTCTATTTCAAGTCCTGTATATTTTTGCACCGTACAGTAAAAAGAACCTGGTACTTGTGAAAAGTCCCTCACAGTGTTTAATAGAAACGTAAGTGGCTGAGTGGCCCCAATTAACACCTTGTGATAAGGCATTCCTAAGATGGAGTGTCAGACACCAAATTGTGAAGAGATGTATCTAATTAATCCTCCTAGGATGACACCGATAAACAAGACTCTATTTAAATAAAGATCAATGGCTCGGCGCCCGATTTGTTTACAATCTCTACCAGGGTCCCCGCATTTGCGCCGGGTGCAGGCTGCCTTCCCTGCGCTGGGCTGAGACGCTGGCTTGGGGGTCTGCTGGTTCGGTGGGGTTCGCTTCTATTCTTGCTCCAAACAAAAACAAATTCCAACGAAAGAGGGGGAAAGCGGTGCAAAGAAGATCCAACTCAGAGTTGAAAATACTATTATTTACCATTCTTTCCACACGTATCCTTTACAAGCCAATTTTGGTTTTTCGTTTGGGGTAAAAAGGGAAAAGGAGGAAAAGCAATCCATGCATAATCCCTGGAATTGTTGATATTATTTTTCCTGGTTTGGGAGGATTCGGGGCATGAACCGCCCTCCCACCCAGAAGCTGCCGCTGCTCGGGTTCGCTCCGGGTGGTTTCAGGATTCCTCCTTCGTGCAGAAGCCAAGAGTTGCTGAGTTATTGAGTGGCTGTCCTGGGGGTGGGTGAGGGGCCACCAACGCCTGGAAGAAAACCTGGGAAAGGCGGGAAGAATCAAAAGAACTTGGGCAGGTGGAGAAACTGCAGACTAGCTCGTCGTTTGTATTTACAGCCTGCGTTTGGGCCCGGGTTAGGAGCCGGCTTAGCCCAGCAACATATCTCCCAACCCATCGGTGGAGTTTAGAGGCTCCAAATCTGCTGTTGGCCCTAGTTTCCCTCCTTTCTAGACACCTTCGAATAAGCTTTAAACTGGGCTGAAGGCAGACCCACTGTCTTCTTTATCCTCTACAGCCTCTCTCCTTCCCCCACCCTTTCCCAATCAAACGTGGGGGGAGGAGGAGGAGGAGGGATGCGATTTTATTTTTAATCGCTGCAAGTGTTGCGGAAACCCGCCCGGGGGGGGGGGGAACATTCCCACATGCTGTTCAGCCGCCAGTGGGGACAAAATTTTAAAATCATTCTTTTCCTACTCGCCTGGACGCTGAGCCACTCCCCTCCCCGGCTCGCGCCAGGGTGTTTCCCCGGCCCGGTGCTGGCCGACTCCAAGCTTTCATCGTGTGTAGACTCCGAGATCACCCGGGGCTTCTTGGTAAGAGCAATTTGTAAAAACGTGTTGGTGAGTCCCATTGAGTCCCCCTCTATGAAATACCCATCCCCTATCAATACCCTCACCTATCATTCTGGTGATTTGATTTTCAAATACGCTAGCCCGGCAAATCCAGTTTAAGGCTACTCCAATCCAAGGAATCCATCCCCTGCGCCTATCTTTGTGGGGGGCCAGATTCTCTCTCGCCACCTGCAGAGGCAAGGGCCCAGTGCACCCCTGGGGGTCTGCAGGGCTTCCGGCGCTACCCACGTGGGTTGTATTTCCTCCCAGAGCGCACAAACTGAGCGATTGTCAGCAGCTTGAAGTATAAGCACCTTTCTCTTCTTTTCTTCCCCCCTTCATTTATTACCTAATTAATTAATTAATTAATTTAGCGGTGCTGGCGATAGAGGCCAGGGACTCACGCTGATAGGCAATTTATTATTATTATTATTATTATTATTATTATTATTATTATTATTATTTTCATTCTTTAGAGGATAGGACTCTGATCTTGGCCACCGAATTTCTTCTTATTAGGTTTAGAAGTAAACTTGTCTTGGCGACACAGATAGCTCTTCTTCTACCAAGGACGCGTATGGAATTTTCCAGGGGAAAGATTTAGCTGTGCCAAACACTGAACAAAACCTCAGCAGTGGTTCCCAAAGTGTCCCCGCGTCAAATGCATCTCTGACTGCAGCTGGGGTGAGGGTCACTGCTTATTTTAGGCAGCACCCCCACCTCCACCCCTCACCCCCCAACACACACCTTAAACCCTCCTCCTGTTTTCTTAAAAAGTCCCAAGCCTTCATCTGTAAGTCCTTGTGGAGGCAGCAGAACTCTCACAGTAACTTCTGTAACTTAAAGTTCGACCCAGCTTTTCCAATTAGCGAGGAAGAGCACCCTGCACCTTGCCCTTTCCCTCCAGGTCCCGCCGCTGTTTCCCAGCAGGGATGCTAACGCGGCTTTCCTCTAAGCCGCGGACAGCCTTCGCCATCTGGTGGCCATTGGGAGTAAAGCTCTTCCCAGCCGAATAAGGGTTTTTTTTTTTTCTACAATTATCACGCAGGTCGCTGCTTTTGTCAACTGGCGGGGGCTGGGGGAGGGAGGGCGCGGGGGCACGCGTCTTCTCTCTGTCCCACTCCTACCCCTTCTTTACCCCCTTTAAAAGCTTTTAAGTATAGGGAAAGGAGCCCGGACTTTCAAGAGCAGAACCTACATAGGCAAGTAGAGCCGAGAAAGAAATGAGATTATAAAACTAACTGCTTTCTAAACTGTTGAGCTATATTAGCAGGTATTATTAACAACTAATTTTTTTCATTTATTCTAATTGGTTATGCATGACAGCAGAATGCATTTCGATTCATTGTACAAAAATGGAGCACAACTTTTCATTTCTCTGGTTGTACACGATGTACATCACGATGTAGAGCTATACCATTCGTACAGTTATACATGCACCTAGGGTAATGATGTTCATCTCATTCCACCATCTTTCCTGCCACCATTCCATCTTCCTCCCCTCTCTTCCTCCCCTTTGCCCAAAGTTCCTCCATTCTCCCCACGCCCCTCCACATTTTATTGTAAGATTCACATCTTACACTTATTATTAGATGCTTTAGCAAAGGAAAAAAATTAATTATAATAATTTTGAAAAAAAAAATCAGATTATATGTAAAAGTAGAGAGCAGTGGAACACCACCCCCCCATATATCTCCCAGCTACAATAACTATCAATTTATAATCTCCTTTTTGGTCTTATAATTCCCATCCTCATTCATCACAAATCCCAGAACTCCTGTCATCTAATCCACAATAATTTCTATACATAGCCTTAAGGCCTCTCTTCTTTCAAATATTTATTTTTTAGTTATAGGTGGACACAATATGTTTATATTTATGTGGTGCTGGGGATAGAACCCAGTGCCTCAGCATGGTAGGTGAGCACTCTACCTCTGAGCCACAGCCCCAACCCTTAAGGCCTCTTTTTAAAATATATATAATTGACAAAACATTATCACATGTATAGAAGCAGCAATAATTTTTAATACCATGAAATATCCAGATGTGTTTCTCTGATTGTCTCAAAAAGTTGTTGCTGGTATTCTTTTTGTTTCTTAGAGTGTGTTTTAATCTGCTTCTATACAAGTCTCACTCATGGTTATGTGTCATTTAATTCTCTTACTCTAGAGGATCACGCCCCACCAA